GGCAAGATGACCATGCGAGTCCCGGCTCCGACCACGACCACCACGACCACGACCACGACGACAGAGGCCGGCACCACCACCACTACCGAGGGCGGTGATGACGGCGATGCTGGAGACGACGGGGACGATGGTGACGATGGCGACGACGACGAGGAGCCGCCCAGCTCGGCCATCGCGGGCAGCGCGTCCGCAGCCGTGCTGGGACTTGCTGTCGCCCTCTTGGAGTGAGGTTAATTTGGCGTGGAATGCAAAGGCATTCGACGTAACCATTTTCCGTTGCATTATGTCCTTATCATGATTTGTTGGCATGGCTTGATCCATTCTGATTCTGAGCATGCGCAGCAATGTCCTAATGTATCTGATCTATCTGACATAAGTTGACTGTTGCCAGGGCTACTAAGCACAACCTAGACGCCGTCACCAGAGCACTTGCACATGCTGGCATGGCGCAGGAGGGTGCCGAACAAGACGCATCCGTACGTCCCTTGCCCCGACACCATGGAACTGCAGATTCTGGAAATGCGAAAGAAGGCTTGAGTTCCGATTGTTGAACGATGCCAGCTTAAGACAGCTGCTCCAGTGTCCACAAAGTTGTCAAGCCGGCCGTGTGTTCATTGCGTCGCCGCTGATTCTGCAGTGTGACATCCCGAATGGTGCAAGGTCTTGGCTTCAAGGGATCCCAACTCCCCCCCCCCCCCATCCAGGTCATCCTCTTGTGCAGTTCGTCAGGTGTTGGTTTCGCGATTCTCATGCTTGTCGGTCTGGTGATGCCCACGACGTTCGACAAAGATGGTTAGGCCAACTTTGCCAGTGCCGTTGTGGGTGGGCATGTGGCATAGCTTCGGGGGGTCGGGCTGGAAGTGGGGTTGGGCTCGTGAACAGTTGTTTTCTCGTGCATGGGGACGTCACTTCCGAGCCTCTCTCAAGCAATTCGAATTCGGCGGTTTTTCAGCACCAGGTGCGAGAGCGCACCTGTGTGAACCTGGCAACGAGACACCGAACTCAGAGAGATAGGAAGAGGCGCCGGGGCTAGGTCGGTTTGAGAACGGGGAGGGACAGGAGGCAAGGAGGCGCCGTTCGTTCCTTTGTCAGCACTGAAGTCCATGGGAGCCTCCAGCAAAGCGCTGCTATCGATGTGGCCTGTCGTCTGTCTGAGTCTGAAAGCCAACGTCCGCCAGTTTCATAATTTTTTGAGCCGAAGACCTGGCGAAGGTGTGTTCGGAGAGACTGGGGGAGCAGTGTGTTGCCACACAAGCCAGCAAACCAAGTAGGCAGATGCTTGTGACCCCACGATCCAACATGCTAGAAAAACGCGAATGCTGCTCGAGTCAGTTTCGCTGCAGTCTGTTCTGCTAGTTTTGCAGTTGCCATGACGCCGCTGGCCTTGGTTCTGGCAGCTTTGGCAGTCGTCCAGAGCCGGGCTGGAGGACCTAAACTCTCCCAAAACTCTTGTAAACTTCAGGCTTCGATACAATACTAGGGTTGCATGGTGCAGGTTGCCTCCTCAAGCAACCTAAGCCCGACACTGGAATATGATTTTCCCAAGGATATCCGTTTTCGTATCCGTGCTGAGTTTAGAATTTCGGCATCGGCCCTTGGGCCGGACGGACGTCGTCTGTTCAGCCCTCAGGTTGCGCGGCTAGGAATGCAGCTGCTTTCTGAACTTTTGGTGCAAGAATCGGCAAGCTCGACAAACTTGAAAGTGTCTCGCGGGTGTTTCTACATTGCGACCTGCTTTGAAGTAGACCAGCAGATGGCTTAACGGAAGCCGAAATACAAGCCCTTCGGCACAGGACATGCAGGACACGAGCACTTGGCCGTCGTCCGGGTCTTCTCGACGGAGGAAGAACTGCAGCTACTGATGGACAGTGTCCCGAAGTGGGATATGGCCGGTGCAATTCCGTGCACCAACAAATCGAACATGAGTGAGATCGACCTCATCTTGGTGTACAGCAAGGACCTGGAAACCGACGCTGAAGCCAAAAGCACGGTGGGTATGATTGAGGATGATTTCCACAATGAATCCTTCGGCTGGATGAGCTGCTTTTCCAACATCAAGAACATGTCGGCCAAGTTGAACCCGGAGCAAGACGTCTATGACAATCGTGGCTACACCACGAACAAGCACTGGGTCTCCGGCCCCAATGCCGTCTTCTCGAAAATCATGATGGCCATGATGGAGGGCGAGTTCAATGACACGTACGACATCTTCTTCCTAATGGAGATGGATGCCGTCCCCATCAAGGACCACTGGCTCGACCAGTTCGAGATGGAGGCCCACGAGATGGCCGACAATGGCATGGCCATCCGCGGGAGCCAGTACCTGGGCGACAAGTGGGACCTTTTCAAAGCAATGATGCCGACGTACTTGGTGGAGCACATCAACGGCAATGCCATGTACAACCTCAAGCACCCTTGGACCAAGGCGGTGTACGATGCTTTCCACAGCATGGATGGCGGCAGCATGATGGAAGAGATGGCCTTCGACGTCGCCTTTGCCATGATAACTATGGATGCGATGTCAGGGAACACTAGCCAGTTCGCAGCTGCCTGGGCAGCTGCAGGAGGCAACAGCCAGACCTACAACTGGGATTCCATGCTGGTAGGCAACTACGCCAACACCCTTCTGAACACCAGCTTCGAGTTCCCGACTTACATCCGCCACGGCTCCAGCAAGAACCTGTTCGCGAACTTGGATGACGAACACGTGACGCTCGGAGTGGCTGTGTTCGATCACCAGGGGCACTTGAAGGACACCATCCCCACTCATCACCCCTTCAAGAAGATCCTGGCTCTGACCTACTACCCGCATCCGCAGCAGATGGACATGTATGAGACTCCGGTCGGCAACGTGACCATGACGACGCAGGCAGCCACTGGCGATCCCTTTTACCACCTCTGCGAGACTGCCAAACTCGTTGACACGAAGTGGTTCGCTCTCACAGACAACTATCACATCATCAAAGCACCGGTCAGTGTTCTGATGGACATGGGCGACAAGCCCGTGCTGCCGTACGTCCTGAGAAACTCCAAGTACTGCGGCGAGCGCCCGAACTGTGAGGCCTCCATGTTGCAAGCAGAGGGGCTGTTCAGCATCACCTTGAACTACCACCACGACAAGTACGAGGTGCTGTACAAGACGGACGATGCCAAGATGTTCTGCGATGCATGGGACCTTGCAACAGGCAGCACAGCAAACGAGTCGTGGGCCAATTGCAGCTTGTCCTTTGGCCCAACCGGGGATGACTACATCGCCTGGAAGATCAGCGTGGACCAGAACATCACCGAGGAGTTCACTCCAAAGGACAAGACACGCTACGGCTGGAGAGCCTGGACGAGCCTGTGGAATCCGGCCCCAGTTGACAGTCGCGCGTGCACGCCGATGCTCTACGGGCCCAAGGAGTACCTAGAGACGCTTGGCAACATCTCCCACTGTGCTGTTGACTACGTTGAGAATGCCGCGGCATGTGAATCTGATACCACATGCGAGTGGAAGGCCATGTTCGAGTCCGGCGTGTGCTTCCAGGACCCGAAGAGCGTCGCCACGACGACCACAATGGCGGGAGTGACCTACAGCACCATCGAAGTCACGTTGCCGCTCACCGTGGACGATGCAGCTGCGATCCTCAACAATGCTACCGTGCAGGACGCCATGAAGCAAGGCTTTGCAACGGCGATGGAGGTGCCTGTGGAGGATGTGATGCTGGAAATTCAGGCCGCTCGGCGGTTGAGTGCTCACACGAGGAAGCTTCAGACCGAGCTGCTGGCCGTCTTCACTGTGATCATGCCCAGCCTTGAGGATGCCATCGTGAAGCAGGTGGAGATCGAGACCGTTTCCTTGGATGCCACCAACCAGGCCATCGCCAGTGCCGTTGCGAGCGCGGGCTTCTCGGGTGCCTTGGAGGTTACCGGCAAGATGACCATGCGAGTTCCGGCTCCGACCACGACCACCACGACCACGACCACGACGACAGAGGCCGGCACCACCACCACTACCGAGGGCGGTGATGACGGCGATGCTGGAGACGACGGGGACGATGGTGACGATGGCGATGGCGACGAGGAGCCGCCCAGCTCGGCCATCGCGGGCAGCGCGTCCGCAGCCGTGCTGGGACTTGCTGTCGCCCTCTTGGCCTGAGGTTAATTTGGTACGGAATGCAAAGGCATTCTACATCTCCATTTTCCATATAGCTTGATCCATGCTGATCCTGAGCATGCACAGCAACCTTCAAACGTAGCTGACATCCGGCGGCCCAGGCCAAGCAATTCTGTCTCGTTGGCTGTAGGATGCTACTGAGCACAAGCTAGAATACCTCCCAAGAGCATTGGCGCGTGCTGGCATGGTGCAGGAGGGTGCCGAACAAGACGCACCCGCACGTCCCTTTAGGATCAGGCTCTGACGTGACGGACCTGCAGACATCGAAGATGTGAAAGAGACTTTCGGGGAATCACTTGGCAGATGAACTCCGATTGTTGAAGGATGCCGTCTTGAGACCGCTGCTCCAGTGTCCACGATGTTGTCGTGCGAGGTGCAATTCCCGAATGAAGCTCTTTGCTTGTACATTTCGTGAGGTGTTGGTTTCGCGAATTCTCATGCAGGTATGTCGGTCTAGTGATTCCCGAAGGTTCGTTAAAGATGGTTAGGCCAACTTTGCCAGTGCTGTTGTCTGGCCATGCGGCATAGCTTCGGGGATCGGAGCTGGTTCCAGCAGACCGCTGCCGTCGATGTGGTATCTCTGTTTTAGGACCCCTGCGACTATGACACAGTACGTCGTCTGTCTGAGTCTGAAAGCCAGCGTTCGCCAGTTTCAAGAAAAAACATTGAGCCGAAGACCTGGCGAAGGTGTGTTCGGAGAGACTGGGGGAGCAGTGTGTTGCCACACAAGCCAGCAAACCAAGTAGGCAGATGCTTGTGACCCCACGATCCAACATGCGAGAAAAACGCGAATGCTGCTCGAGTCAGTTTCGCTGCAGTCTGTTCTGCTAGTTTTGCAGTTGCCATGACGCCGCTGGCCTTGGTTCTGGCAGCTTTGGCAGTCGTCCAGAGCCGGGCTGGAGGACCTAAACTCTCCCAAAACTCTTGTAAACTTCAGGCTTCGATACAATACTAGGGTTGCATGGTGCAGGTTGCCTCCTCAAGCAACCTAAGCCCGACACTGGAATATGATTTTCCCAAGGATATCCGTTTTCGTATCCGTGCTGAGTTTAGAATTTCGGCATCGGCCCTTGGGCCGGACGGACGTCGTCTGTTCAGCCCTCAGGTTGCGCGGCTAGGAATGCAGCTGCTTTCTGAACTTTTGGTGCAAGAATCGGCAAGCTCGACAAACTTGAAAGTGTCTCGCGGGTGTTTCTACATTGCGACCTGCTTTGAAGTAGACCAGCAGATGGCTTAACGGAAGCCGAAATACAAGCCCTTCGGCACAGGACATGCAGGACACGAGCACTTGGCCGTCGTCCGGGTCTTCTCGACGGAGGAAGAACTGCAGCTACTGATGGACAGTGTCCCGAAGTGGGATATGGCCGGTGCAATTCCGTGCACCAACAAATCGAACATGAGTGAGATCGACCTCATCTTGGTGTACAGCAAGGACCTGGAAACCGACGCTGAAGCCAAAAGCATGGTGGGTATGATTGAGGATGATTTCCACAATGAATCCTTCGGCTGGATGAGCTGCTTTTCCAACATCAAGAACATGTCGGCCAAGTTGAACCCGGAGCAAGACGTCTATGACAATCGTGGCTACACCACGAACAAGCACTGGGTCTCCGGCCCCAATGCCGTCTTCTCGAAAATCATGATGGCCATGATGGAGGGCGAGTTCAATGACACGTACGACATCTTCTTCCTAATGGAGATGGATGCCGTCCCCATCAAGGACCACTGGCTCGACCAGTTCGAGATGGAGGCCCACGAGATGGCCGACAATGGCATGGCCATCCGCGGGAGCCAGTACCTGGGCGACAAGTGGGACCTTTTCAAAGCAATGATGCCGACGTACTTGGTGGAGCACATCAACGGCAATGCCATGTACAACCTCAAGCACCCTTGGACCAAGGCGGTTTACGATGCTTTCCACAGCATGGATGGCGGCAGCATGATGGAAGAGATGGCCTTCGACGTCGCCTTTGCCATGATAACTATGGATGCGATGTCAGGGAACACTAGCCAGTTCGCAGCTGCCTGGGCAGCTGCAGGAGGCAACAGCCAGACCTACAACTGGGATTCCATGCTGGTAGGCAACTACGCCAACACCCTTCTGAACACCAGCTTCGAGTTCCCGACTTACATCCGCCACGGCTCCAGCAAGAACCTGTTCGCGAACTTGGATGACGAACACGTGACGCTCGGAGTGGCTGTGTTCGATCACCAGGGGCACTTGAAGGACACCATCCCCACGCATCACCCCTTCAAGAAGATCCTGGCTCTGACCTACTACCCGCATCCGCAGCAGATGGACATGTATGAGACTCCGGTCGGCAACGTGACCATGACGACGCAGGCAGCCACTGGCGATCCCTTTTACCACCTCTGCGAGACTGCCAAACTCGTTGACACGAAGTGGTTCGCTCTCACAGACAACTATCACATCATCAAAGCACCGGTCAGTGTTCTGATGGACATGGGCGACAAGCCCGTGCTGCCGTACGTCCTGAGAAACTCCAAGTACTGCGGCGAGCGCCCGAACTGTGAGGCCTCCATGTTGCAAGCAGAGGGGCTGTTCAGCATCACCTTGAACTACCACCACGACAAGTACGAGGTGCTGTACAAGACGGACGATGCCAAGATGTTCTGCGATGCATGGGACCTTGCAACAGGCAGCACAGCAAACGAGTCGTGGGCCAATTGCAGCTTGTCCTTTGGCCCAACCGGGGATGACTACATCGCCTGGAAGATCAGCGTGGACCAGAACATCACCGAGGAGTTCACTCCAAAGGACAAGACACGCTACGGCTGGAGAGCCTGGACGAGCCTGTGGAATCCGGCCCCAGTTGACAGTCGCGCGTGCACGCCGATGCTCTACGGGCCCAAGGAGTACCTAGAGACGCTTGGCAACATCTCCCACTGTGCTGTTGACTACGTTGAGAATGCCGCGGCATGTGAATCTGATACCACATGCGAGTGGAAGGCCATGTTCGAGTCCGGCGTGTGCTTCCAGGACCCGAAGAGCGTCGCCACGACGACCACAATGGCGGGAGTGACCTACAGCACCATCGAAGTCACGTTGCCGCTCACCGTGGACGATGCAGCTGCGATCCTCAACAATGCTACCGTGCAGGACGCCATGAAGCAAGGCTTTGCAACGGCGATGGAGGTGCCTGTGGAGGATGTGATGCTGGAAATTCAGGCCGCTCGGCGGTTGAGTGCTCACACGAGGAAGCTTCAGACCGAGCTGCTGGCCGTCTTCACTGTGATCATGCCCAGCCTTGAGGATGCCATCGTGAAGCAGGTGGAGATCGAGACCGTTTCCTTGGATGCCACCAACCAGGCCATCGCCAGTGCCGTTGCGAGCGCGGGCTTCTCGGGTGCCTTGGAGGTTACCGGCAAGATGACCATGCGAGTTCCGGCTCCGACCACGACCACCACGACCACGACCACGACGACAGAGGCCGGCACCACCACCACTACCGAGGGCGGTGATGACGGCGATGCTGGAGACGACGGGGACGATGGTGACGATGGCGATGGCGACGAGGAGCCGCCCAGCTCGGCCATCGCGGGCAGCGCGTCCGCAGCCGTGCTGGGACTTGCTGTCGCCCTCTTGGCCTGAGGTTAATTTGGTACGGAATGCAAAGGCATTCTACATCTCCATTTTCCATATAGCTTGATCCATGCTGATCCTGAGCATGCACAGCAACCTTCAAACGTAGCTGACATCCGGCGGCCCAGGCCAAGCAATTCTGTCTCGTTGGCTGTAGGATGCTACTGAGCACAAGCTAGAATACCTCCCAAGAGCATTGGCGCGTGCTGGCATGGTGCAGGAGGGTGCCGAACAAGACGCACCCGCACGTCCCTTTAGGATCAGGCTCTGACGTGACGGACCTGCAGACATCGAAGATGTGAAAGAGACTTTCGGGGAATCACTTGGCAGATGAACTCCGATTGTTGAAGGATGCCGTCTTGAGACCGCTGCTCCAGTGTCCACGATGTTGTGGTGCGAGGTGCAATCCCGAATGAAGCTCTTTGCTTGTACATTTCGTGAGGTGTTGGTTTCGCGAATTCTCATGCAGGTATGTCGGTCTAGTGATTCCCGAAGGTTCGTTAAAGATGGTTAGGCCAACTTTGCCAGTGCTGTTGTCTGGCCATGCGGCATAGCTTCGGGGATCGGAGCTGGTTCCAGCAGACCGCTGCCGTCGGGTATCTCTGTTTTAGGACCCCTGCGACTATGACACAGTACGTCGTCTGTCTGAGTCTGAAAGCCAGCGTTCGCCAGTTTCAAGAAAAATTTTTGAGCCGAAGACCTGGCGAAGGTGTGTTCGGAGAGACTGGGGGAGCAGTGTGTTGCCACACAAGCCAGCAAACCAAGTAGGCAGATGCTTGTGACCCCACGATCCAACATGCGAGAAAAACGCGAATGCTGCTCGAGTCAGTTTCGCTGCAGTCTGTTCTGCTAGTTTTGCAGTTGCCATGACGCCGCTGGCCTTGGTTCTGGCAGCTTTGGCAGTCGTCCAGAGCCGGGCTGGAGGACCTAAACTCTCCCAAAACTCTTGTAAACTTCAGGCTTCGATACAATACTAGGGTTGCATGGTGCAGGTTGCCTCCTCAAGCAACCTAAGCCCGACACTGGAATATGATTTTCCCAAGGATATCCGTTTTCGTATCCGTGCTGAGTTTAGAATTTCGGCATCGGCCCTTGGGCCGGACGGACGTCGTCTGTTCAGCCCTCAGGTTGCGCGGCTAGGAATGCAGCTGCTTTCTGAACTTTTGGTGCAAGAATCGGCAAGCTCGACAAACTTGAAAGTGTCTCGCGGGTGTTTCTACATTGCGACCTGCTTTGAAGTAGACCAGCAGATGGCTTAACGGAAGCCGAAATACAAGCCCTTCGGCACAGGACATGCAGGACACGAGCACTTGGCCGTCGTCCGGGTCTTCTCGACGGAGGAAGAACTGCAGCTACTGATGGACAGTGTCCCGAAGTGGGATATGGCCGGTGCAATTCCGTGCACCAACAAATCGAACATGAGTGAGATCGACCTCATCTTGGTGTACAGCAAGGACCTGGAAACCGACGCTGAAGCCAAAAGCATGGTGGGTATGATTGAGGATGATTTCCACAATGAATCCTTCGGCTGGATGAGCTGCTTTTCCAACATCAAGAACATGTCGGCCAAGTTGAACCCGGAGCAAGACGTCTATGACAATCGTGGCTACACCACGAACAAGCACTGGGTCTCCGGCCCCAATGCCGTCTTCTCGAAAATCATGATGGCCATGATGGAGGGCGAGTTCAATGATACGTACGACATCTTCTTCCTAATGGAGATGGATGCCGTCCCCATCAAGGACCACTGGCTCGACCAGTTCGAGATGGAGGCCCACGAGATGGCCGACAATGGCATGGCCATCCGCGGGAGCCAGTACCTGGGCGACAAGTGGGACCTTTTCAAAGCAATGATGCCGACGTACTTGGTGGAGCACATCAACGGCAATGCCATGTACAACCTCAAGCACCCTTGGACCAAGGCGGTGTACGATGCTTTCCACAGCATGGATGGCGGCAGCATGATGGAAGAGATGGCCTTCGACGTCGCCTTTGCCATGATAACTATGGATGCGATGTCAGGGAACACTAGCCAGTTCGCAGCTGCCTGGGCAGCTGCAGGAGGCAACAGCCAGACCTACAACTGGGATTCCATGCTGGTAGGCAACTACGCCAACACCCTTCTGAACACCAGCTTCGAGTTCCCGACTTACATCCGCCACGGCTCCAGCAAGAACCTGTTCGCGAACTTGGATGACGAACACGTGACGCTCGGAGTGGCTGTGTTCGATCACCAGGGGCACTTGAAGGACACCATCCCCACTCATCACCCCTTCAAGAAGATCCTGGCTCTGACCTACTACCCGCATCCGCAGCAGATGGACATGTATGAGACTCCGGTCGGCAACGTGACCATGACGACGCAGGCAGCCACTGGCGATCCCTTTTACCACCTCTGCGAGACTGCCAAACTCGTTGACACGAAGTGGTTCGCTCTCACAGACAACTATCACATCATCAAAGCACCGGTCAGTGTTCTGATGGACATGGGCGACAAGCCCGTGCTGCCGTACGTCCTGAGAAACTCCAAGTACTGCGGCGAGCGCCCGAACTGTGAGGCCTCCATGTTGCAAGCAGAGGGGCTGTTCAGCATCACCTTGAACTACCACCACGACAAGTACGAGGTGCTGTACAAGACGGACGATGCCAAGATGTTCTGCGATGCATGGGACCTTGCAACAGGCAGCACAGCAAACGAGTCGTGGGCAAATTGCAGCTTGTCCTTTGGCCCAACCGGGGATGACTACATCGCCTGGAAGATCAGCGTGGACCAGAACATCACCGAGGAGTTCACTCCAAAGGACAAGACACGCTACGGCTGGAGAGCCTGGACGAGCCTGTGGAATCCGGCCCCAGTTGACAGTCGCGCGTGCACGCCGATGCTCTACGGGCCCAAGGAGTACCTAGAGACGCTTGGCAACATCTCCCACTGTGCTGTTGACTACGTTGAGAATGCCGCGGCATGTGAATCTGATACCACATGCGAGTGGAAGGCCATGTTCGAGTCCGGCGTGTGCTTCCAGGACCCGAAGAGCGTCGCCACGACGACCACAATGGCGGGAGTGACCTACAGCACCATCGAAGTCACGTTGCCGCTCACCGTGGACGATGCAGCTGCGATCCTCAACAATGCTACCGTGCAGGACGCCATGAAGCAAGGCTTTGCAACGGCGATGGAGGTGCCTGTGGAGGATGTGATGCTGGAAATTCAGGCCGCTCGGCGGTTGAGTGCTCACACGAGGAAGCTTCAGACCGAGCTGCTGGCCGTCTTCACTGTGATCATGCCCAGCCTTGAGGATGCCATCGTGAAGCAGGTGGAGATCGAGACCGTTTCCTTGGATGCCACCAACCAGGCCATCGCCAGTGCCGTTGCGAGCGCGGGCTTCTCGGGTGCCTTGGAGGTTACCGGCAAGATGACCATGCGAGTTCCGGCTCCGACCACGACCACCACGACCACGACCACGACGACAGAGGCCGGCACCACCACCACTACCGAGGGCGGTGATGACGGCGATGCTGGAGACGACGGGGACGATGGTGACGATGGCGATGGCGACGAGGAGCCGCCCAGCTCGGCCATCGCGGGCAGCGCGTCCGCAGCCGTGCTGGGACTTGCTGTCGCCCTCTTGGCCTGAGGTTAATTTGGTACGGAATGCAAAGGCATTCTACATCTCCATTTTCCATATAGCTTGATCCATGCTGATCCTGAGCATGCACAGCAACCTTCAAACGTAGCTGACATCCGGCGGCCCAGGCCAAGCAATTCTGTCTCGTTGGCTGTAGGATGCTACTGAGCACAAGCTAGAATACCTCCCAAGAGCATTGGCGCGTGCTGGCATGGTGCAGGAGGGTGCCGAACAAGACGCACCCGCACGTCCCTTTAGGATCAGGCTCTGACGTGACGGACCTGCAGACATCGAAGATGTGAAAGAGACTTTCGGGGAATCACTTGGCAGATGAACTCCGATTGTTGAAGGATGCCGTCTTGAGACCGCTGCTCCAGTGTCCACGATGTTGTCGTGCGAGGTGCAATTCCCGAATGAAGCTCTTTTCCCCCTAAGGCATCCCAACTCTGCTAAAATTCATGTTTTGTCTCACACCCCCCAGCCCACCCGAGCATCAGTTCAAAGACGGAGGCCATCTTCTTTTGTACGATTCGCCAGGTGTTGGTTTCGCGATTCTCATGAAGTTCGGCCAGCGCGGTGGTGTTGGGTGGACTTGGGGGGTGCGGCTGAGCGGTGCTTGTCGAAGGGTCCTCGTCTCCTTGAGATGGTTGGTTGGTCTTACGCATTTTATCTTCGTCCATTGCTTGCCTTTCCCGCAGTGATGTTGCTTTCCTTTGTTCTGACACTGTCCGCCGAGTCTTTCTCAAAATCTGCATCCGATTCAACCGGAGGTGCAGCAATAGCATGAAGCGTCCTTCGATGACGGGTGCCAGGTGCGCAGCAGTGAGCAACGAGACACCAGAGAAGGGTAGCAACTTCAATAGACGCCGGGATCGGACAATTCAAAGTTGGGATCAAAACTGAAAAGCCAGAAGACAACAGGGACACCCGGCACAGGCTAGGATCTGAAGGACCTGAAGGACTAGAGGCGTAAACATCACAAAAGAGGGCGCGGCTGCATCGGCCATGACGACGAAGCCTTTGCTCCCAACATCCATGTTTCGCATCATGGGAGCTGAAGCGAAGAATATATTTTCCGGGTTGAGACGCGCCGACTAGTGGTCGGTTTGCAGCCAGGACCTCTGAGACTGGGTAGAGCTCTGATGTTTGTGCCAAAGTGATGACCAGTTCAGCGTGTTGACCTATGGACGTGGCAAAGGTGTGTTTCGAAAGAGGGTGGTTGGCAGGTTGGGTCGGTGGGTGATGGTGTAATGCTGCACAATCAACGACCCAAGAGTCCCTAGGCCCAAATTCGCAGATGAGCGTAAACCTGCGATGGCTTGGATCAACGTTGATCTGTGTGGCACGAACATGCTCAAGTCGCGGTTACTTGCTAGCGGCTAGCGACTTTTCGTGCACTTTGCCAGTTTGTGGCTGCCATGACGCTGCTGGCCTTGGTGCTGACAGCTTTGTCAGTGGTCCCGAGCCGGGCTGGAGGACTGAGTTTCGCAAAGCCCAACGATCCAACTGGGCGGTTGCTTGGTGCAGGTTGCCTTCTCAAGGTTGTTGGAATACCCCAGCTAACTTACAAAATCGGAAGTCCGTTCTTTTTGGTACTTGTGCCCCGCTTAGCGTTACTTCGGATCAGAAGTGGCACCCTGAAGCAACCCAACATGTCGTCACAGGACATGCAGGACACGAACACCTCGCTGTCGTCCGGGTCTTCTCGACGGAGGAAGAGCTGCAGCTACTGATGGACAGTGTACCGAAGTGGGATATGGCCGGTGCAATTCCGTGCACCAACAAATCGAACATGAGTGAGATCGACCTCATCTTGGTGTACAGCAAGGACCTGGAAACCGACGCTGAAGCCAAAAGCACGGTGGGTATGATTGAGGATGATTTCCACAATGAATCCTTCGGCTGGATGAGCTGCTTTTCCAACATCAAGAACATGTCGGCCAAGTTGAACCCGGAGCAAGACGTCTATGACAATCGTGGCTACACCACGAACAAGCACTGGGTCTCCGGCCCCAATGCCGTCTTCTCGAAAATCATGATGGCCATGATGGAGGGCGAGTTCAATGACACGTACGACATCTTCTTCCTAATGGAGATGGATGCCGTCCCCATCAAGGACCACTGGCTCGACCAGTTCGAGATGGAGGCCCACGAGATGGCCGACAATGGCATGGCCATCCGCGGGAGCCAGTACCTGGGCGACAAGTGGGACCTTTTCAAAGCAATGATGCCGACATACTTGGTGGAGCACATCAACGGCAATGCCATGTACAACCTCAAGCACCCTTGGACCAAGTCGGTTTACGATGCTTTCCACAGCATGGATGGCGGCAGCATGATGGAAGAGATGGCCTTCGACGTCGCCTTTGCCATGATAACTATGGATGCGATGTCAGGGAACACTAGCCAGTTCGCAGCTGCCTGGGCAGCTGCAGGAGGCAACAGCCAGACCTACAACTGGGATTCCATGCTGGTAGGCAACTACGCCAACACCCTTCTGAACACCAGCTTCGAGTTCCCGACTTACATCCGCCACGGCTCCAGCAAGAACCTGTTCGCGAACTTGGATGACGAACACGTGACGCTCGGAGTGGCTGTGTTCGATCACCAGGGGCACTTGAAGGACACCATCCCCACGCATCACCCCTTCAAGAAGATCCTGGCTCTGACCTACTACCCGCATCCGCAGCAGATGGACATGTATGAGACTCCGGTCGGCAACGTGACCATGACGACGCAGGCAGCCACTGGCGATCCCTTTTACCACCTCTGCGAGACTGCCAAACTCGTTGACACGAAGTGGTTCGCTCTCACAGACAACTATCACATCATCAAAGCACCGGTCAGTGTTCTGATGGACATGGGCGACAAGCCCGTGCTGCCGTACGTCCTGAGAAACTCCAAGTACTGCGGCGAGCGCCCGAACTGTGAGGCCTCCATGTTGCAAGCAGAGGGACTGTTCAGCATCACCTTGAACTACCACCACGACAAGTACGAGGTGCTGTACAAGACGGACGATGCCAAGATGTTCTGCGATGCATGGGACCTTGCAACAGGCAGCACAGCAAACGAGTCGTGGGCCAATTGCAGCTTGTCCTTTGGCCCAACCGGGGATGACTACATCGCCTGGAAGATCAGCGTGGACCAGAACATCACCGAGGAGTTCACTCCAAAGGACAAGACACGCTACGGCTGGAGAGCCTGGACGAGCCTGTGGAATCCGGCCCCAGTTGACAGTCGCGCGTGCACGCCGATGCTCTACGGGCCCAAGGAGTACCTAGAGACGCTTGGCAACATCTCCCACTGTGCTGTTGACTACGTTGAGAATGCCGCGGCATGTGAATCTGATACCACATGCGAGTGGAAGGCCATGTTCGAGTCCGGCGTGTGCTTCCAGGACCCGAAGAGCGTCGCCACGACGACCACAATGGCGGGAGTGACCTACAGCACCATCGAAGTCACGTTGCCGCTCACCGTGGACGATGCAGCTGCGATCCTCAACAATGCTACCGTGCAGGACGCCATGAAGCAAGGCTTTGCAACGGCGATGGAGGTGCCTGTGGAGGATGTGATGCTGGAAATTCAGGCCGCTCGGCGGTTGAGTGCTCACACGAGGAAGCTTCAGACCGAGCTGCTGGCCGTCTTCACTGTGATCATGCCCAGCCTTGAGGATGCCATCGTGAAGCAGGTGGAGATCGAGACCGTTTCCTTGGATGCCACCAACCAGGCCATCGCCAGTGCCGTTGCGAGCGCGGGCTTCTCGGGTGCCTTGGAGGTTACCGGCAAGATGACCATGCGAGTTCCGGCTCCGACCACGACCACCACGACCACGACCACGACGACAGAGGCCGGCACCACCACCACTACCGAGGGCGGTGATGACGGCGATGCTGGAGACGACGGGGACGATGGTGACGATGGCGATGGCGACGAGGAGCCGCCCAGCTCGGCCATCGCGGGCAGCGCGTCCGCAGCCGTGCTGGGACTTGCTGTCGCCCTCTTGGCCTGAGGTTAATTTGGTACGGAATGCAAAGGCATTCTACATCTCCATTTTCCATATAGCTTGATCCATGCTGATCCTGAGCATGCACAGCAACCTTCAAACGTAGCTGACATCCGGCGGCCCAGGCCAAGCAATTCTGTCTCGTTGGCTGTAGGATGCTACTGAGCACAAGCTAGAATACCTCCCAAGAGCATTGGCGCGTGCTGGCATGGTGCAGGAGGGTGCCGAACAAGACGCACCCGCACGTCCCTTTAGGATCAGGCTCTGACGTGACGGACCTGCAGACATCGAAGATGTGAAAGAGACTTTCGGGGAATCACTTGGCAGATGAACTCCGATTGTTGAAGGATGCCGTCTTGAGACCGCTGCTCCAGTGTCCACGATGTTGTCGTGCGAGGTGCAATTCCCGAATGAAGCTCTTTTCCCCCTAAGGCATCCCAACTCTGCTAAAATTCATGTTTTGTCTCACACCCCCCAGCCCACCCGAGCATCAGTTCACATACGGAGGCCATCTTCTTTTGTACGATTCGCCAGGTGTTGGTTTCGCGATTCTCATGAAGTTCGGCCAGCGCGGTGGTGTTGGGTGGACTTGGGGGGTGCGGCTGAGCGGTGCTTGTCGAAGGGTCCTCGTCTCCTTGAGATGGTTGGTTGGTCTTACGCATTTTATCTTCGTCCATTGCTTGCCTTTCCCGCAGTGATGTTGCTTTCCTTTGTTCTGACACTGTCCGCCGAGTCTTTCTCAAAATCTGCATCCGATTCAACCGGAGGTGCAGCAATAGCATGAAGCGTCCTTCGATGACGGGTGCCAGGTGCGCAGCAGTGAGCAACGAGACACCAGAGAAGGGTAGCAACTTCAATAGACGCCGGGATCGGACAATTCAAAGTTGGGATCAAAACTGAAAAGCCAGAAGACAACAGGGACACCCGGCACAGGCTAGGATCTGAAGGACCTGAAGGACTAGAGGCGTAAACATCACAAAAGAGGGCGCGGCTGCATCGGCCATGACGACGAAGCCTTTGCTCCCAACATCCATGTTTCGCATCATGGGAGCTGAAGCGAAGAATATATTTTCCGGGTTGAGACGCGCCGACTAGTGGTCGGTTTGCAGCCAGGACCTCTGAGACTGGGTAGAGCTCTGATGTTTGTGCCAAAGTGATGACCAGTTCAGCGTGTTGACCTATGGACGTGGCAAAGGTGTGTTTCGAAAGAGGGTGGTTGGCAGGTTGGGTCGGTGGGTGATGGTGTAATGCTGCACAATCAACGACCCAAGAGTCCCTAGGCCCAAATTCGCAGATGAGCGTAAACCTGCGATGGCTTGGATCAACGTTGATCTGTGTGGCACGAACATGCTCAAGTCGCGGTTACTTGCTAGCGGCTAGCGACTTTTCGTGCACTTTGCCAGTTTGTGGCTGCCATGACGCTGCTGGCCTTGGTGCTGACAGCTTTGTCAGTGGTCCCGAGCCGGGCTGGAGGACTGAGTTTCGCAAAGCCCAACGATCCAACTGGGCGGTTGCTTGGTGCAGGTTGCCTTCTCAAGGTTGTTGGAATACCCCAGCTAACTTACAAAATCGGAAGTCCGTTCTTTTTGGTACTTGTGCCCCGCTTAGCGTTACTTCGGATCAGAAGTGGCACCCTGAAGCAACCCAACATGTCGTCACAGGACATGCAGGACACGAACACCTCGCTGTCGTCCGGGTCTTCTCGACGGAGGAAGAGCTGCAGCTACTGATGGACAGTGTACCGAAGTGGGATATGGCCGGTGCAATTCCGTGCACCAACAAATCGAACATGAGTGAGATCGACCTCATCTTGGTGTACAGCAAGGACCTGGAAACCGACGCTGAAGCCAAAAGCACGGTGGGTATGATTGAGGATGATTTCCACAATGAATCCTTCGGCTGGATGAGCTGCTTTTCCAACATCAAGAACATGTCGGCCAAGTTGAACCCGGAGCAAGACGTCTATGACAATCGTGGCTACACCACGAACAAGCACTGGGTCTCCGGCCCCAATGCCGTCTTCTCGAAAATCATGATGGCCATGATGGAGGGCGAGTTCAATGACACGTACGACATCTTCTTCCTAATGGAGATGGATGCCGTCCCCATCAAGGACCACTGGCTCGACCAGTTCGAGATGGAGGCCCACGAGATGGCCGACAATGGCATGGCCATCCGCGGGAGCCAGTACCTGGGCGACAAGTGGGACCTTTTCAAAGCAATGATGCCGACATACTTGGTGGAGCACATCAACGGCAATGCCATGTACAACCTCAAGCACCCTTGGACCAAGTCGGTTTACGATGCTTTCCACAGCATGGATGGCGGCAGCATGATGGAAGAGATGGCCTTCGACGTCGCCTTTGCCATGATAACTATGGATGCGATGTCAGGGAACACTAGCCAGTTCGCAGCTGCCTGGGCAGCTGCAGGAGGCAACAGCCAGACCTACAACTGGGATTCCATGCTGGTAGGCAACTACGCCAACACCCTTCTGAACACCAGCTTCGAGTTCCCGACTTACATCCGCCACGGCTCCAGCAAGAACCTGTTCGCGAACTTGGATGACGAACACGTGACGCTCGGAGTGGCTGTGTTCGATCACCAGGGGCACTTGAAGGACACCATCCCCACGCATCACCCCTTCAAGAAGATCCTGGCTCTGACCTACTACCCGCATCCGCAGCAGATGGACATGTATGAGACTCCGGTCGGCAACGTGACCATGACGACGCAGGCAGCCACTGGCGATCCCTTTTACCACCTCTGCGAGACTGCCAAACTCGTTGACACGAAGTGGTTCGCTCTCACAGACAACTATCACATCATCAAAGCACCGGTCAGTGTTCTGATGGACATGGGCGACAAGCCCGTGCTGCCGTACGTCCTGAGAAACTCCAAGTACTGCGGCGAGCGCCCGAACTGTGAGGCCTCCATGTTGCAAGCAGAGGGGCTGTTCAGCATCACCTTGAACTACCACCACGACAAGTACGAGGTGCTGTACAAGACGGACGATGCCAAGATGTTCTGCGATGCATGGGACCTTGCAACAGGCAGCACAGCAAACGAGTCGTGGGCCAATTGCAGCTTGTCCTTTGGCCCAACCGGGGATGACTACATCGCCTGGAAGATCAGCGTGGACCAGAACATCACCGAGGAGTTCACTCCAAAGGACAAGACACGCTACGGCTGGAGAGCCTGGACGAGCCTGTGGAATCCGGCCCCAGTTGACAGTCGCGCGTGCACGCCGATGCTCTACGGGCCCAAGGAGTACCTAGAGACGCTTGGCAACATCTCCCACTGTGCTGTTGACTACGTTGAGAATGCCGCGGCATGTGAATCTGATACCACATGCGAGTGGAAGGCCATGTTCGAGTCCGGCGTGTGCTTCCAGGACCCGAAGAGCGTCGCCACGACGACCACAATGGCGGGAGTGACCTACAGCACCATCGAAGTCACGTTGCCGCTCACCGTGGACGATGCAGCTGCGATCCTCAACAATGCTACCGTGCAGGACGCCATGAAGCAAGGCTTTGCAACGGCGATGGAGGTGCCTGTGGAGGATGTGATGCTGGAAATTCAGGCCGCTCGGCGGTTGAGTGCTCACACGAGGAAGCTTCAGACCGAGCTGCTGGCCGTCTTCACTGTGATCATGCCCAGCCTTGAGGATGCCATCGTGAAGCAGGTGGAGATCGAGACCGTTTCCTTGGATGCCACCAACCAGGCCATCGCCAGTGCCGTTGCGAGCGCGGGCTTCTCGGGTGCCTTGGAGGTTACCGGCAAGATGACCATGCGAGTTCCGGCTCCGACCACGACCACCACGACCACGACCACGACGACAGAGGCCGGCACCACCACCACTACCGAGGGCGGTGATGACGGCGATGCTGGAGACGACGGGGACGATGGTGACGATGGCGATGGCGACGAGGAGCCGCCCAGCTCGGCCATCGCGGGCAGCGCGTCCGCAGCCGTGCTGGGACTTGCTGTCGCCCTCTTGGCCTGAGGTTAATTTGGTACGGAATGCAAAGGCATTCTACATCTCCATTTTCCATATAGCTTGATCCATGCTGATCCTGAGCATGCACAGCAACCTTCAAACGTAGCTGACATCCGGCGGCCCAGGCCAAGCAATTCTGTCTCGTTGGCTGTAGGATACTACTGAGCACAAGCTAGAATACCTCCCAAGAGCATTGGCGCGTGCTGGCATGGTGCAGGAGGGTGCCGAACAAGACGCACCCGCACGTCCCTTTAGGATCAGGCTCTGACGTGACGGACCTGCAGACATCGAAGATGTGAAAGAGACTTTCGGGGAAGCACTTGGCAGATGAACTCCGATTGTTGAAGGATGCCGTCTTGAGACCGCTGCTCCAGTGTCCACGATGTTGTCGTGCGAGGTGCAATTCCCGAATGAAGCTCTTTTCCCCCTAAGGCATCCCAACTCTGCTAAAATTCATGTTTTGTCTCACACCCCCCAGCCCACCCGAGCATCAGTTCACATACGGAGGCCATCTTCTTTTGTACGATTCGCCAGGTGTTGGTTTCGCGATTCTCATGAAGTTCGGCCAGCGCGGTGGTGTTGGGTGGACTTGGGGGGTGCGGCTGAGCGGTGCTTGTCGAAGGGTCCTCGTCTCCTTGAGATGGTTGGTTGGTCTTACGCATTTTATCTTCGTCCATTGCTTGCCTTTCCCGCAGTGATGTTGCTTTCCTTTGTTCTGACACTGTCCGCCGAGTCTTTCTCAAAATCTGCATCCGATTCAACCGGAGGTGCAGCAATAGCATGAAGCGTCCTTCGATGACGGGTGCCAGGTGCGCAGCAGTGAGCAACGAGACACCAGAGAAGGGTAGCAACTTCAATAGACGCCGGGATCGGACAATTCAAAGTTGGGATCAAGACTGAAAAGCCAGAAGACAACAGGGACACCCGGCACAGGCTAGGATCTGAAGGACCTGAAGGACTAGAGGCGTAAACATCACAAAAGAGGGCGCGGCTGCATCGGCCATGACGACGAAGCCTTTGCTCCCAACATCCATGTTTCGCATCATGGGAGCTGAAGCGAAGAATATATTTTCCGGGTTGAGACGCGCCGACTAGTGGTCGGTTTGCAGCCAGGACCTCTGAGACTGGGTAGAGCTCTGATGTTTGTGCCAAAGTGATGACCAGTTCAGCGTGTTGACCTATGGACGTGGCAAAGGTGTGTTTCGAAAGAGGGTGGTTGGCAGGTTGGGTCGGTGGGTGATGGTGTAATGCTGCACAATCAACGACCCAAGAGTCCCTAGGCCCAAATTCGCAGATGAGCGTAAACCTGCGATGGCTTGGATCAACGTTGATCTGTGTGGCACGAACATGCTCAAGTCGCGGTTACTTGCTAGCGGCTAGCGACTTTTCGTGCACTTTGCCAGTTTGTGGCTGCCATGACGCTGCTGGCCTTGGTGTTGACAGCTTTGTCAGTGGTCCCGAGCCGGGCTGGAGGACTGAGTTTCGCAAAGCCCAACGATCCAACTGGGCGGTTGCTTGGTGCAGGTTGCCTTCTCAAGGTTGTTGGAATACCCCAGCTAACTTACAAAATCGGAAGTCCGTTCTTTTTGGTACTTGTGCCCCGCTTAGCGTTACTTCGGATCAGAAGTGGCACCCTGAAGCAACCCAACATGTCGTCACAGGACATGCAGGACACGAACACCTCGCTGTCGTCCGGGTCTTCTCGACGGAGGAAGAGCTGCAGCTACTGATGGACAGTGTACCGAAGTGGGATATGGCCGGTGCAATTCCGTGCACCAACAAATCGAACATGAGTGAGATCGACCTCATCTTGGTGTACAGCAAGGACCTGGAAACCGACGCTGAAGCCAAAAGCACGGTGGGTATGATTGAGGATGATTTCCACAATGAATCCTTCGGCTGGATGAGCTGCTTTTCCAACATCAAGAACATGTCGGCCAAGTTGAACCCGGAGCAAGACGTCTATGACAATCGTGGCTACACCACGAACAAGCACTGGGTCTCCGGCCCCAATGCCGTCTTCTCGAAAATCATGATGGCCATGATGGAGGGCGAGTTCAATGACACGTACGACATCTTCTTCCTAATGGAGATGGATGCCGTCCCCATCAAGGACCACTGGCTCGACCAGTTCGAGATGGAGGCCCACGAGATGGCCGACAATGGCATGGCCATCCGCGGGAGCCAGTACCTGGGCGACAAGTGGGACCTTTTCAAAGCAATGATGCCGACATACTTGGTGGAGCACATCAACGGCAATGCCATGTACAACCTCAAGCACCCTTGGACCAAGTCGGTTTACGATGCTTTCCACAGCATGGATGGCGGCAGCATGATGGAAGAGATGGCCTTCGACGTCGCCTTTGCCATGATAACTATGGATGCGATGTCAGGGAACACTAGCCAGTTCGCAGCTGCCTGGGCAGCTGCAGGAGGCAACAGCCAGACCTACAACTGGGATTCCATGCTGGTAGGCAACTACGCCAACACCCTTCTGAACACCAGCTTCGAGTTCCCGACTTACATCCGCCACGGCTCCAGCAAGAACCTGTTCGCGAACTTGGATGACGAACACGTGACGCTCGGAGTGGCTGTGTTCGATCACCAGGGGCACTTGAAGGACACCATCCCCACGCATCACCCCTTCAAGAAGATCCTGGCTCTGACCTACTACCCGCATCCGCAGCAGATGGACATGTATGAGACTCCGGTCGGCAACGTGACCATGACGACGCAGGCAGCCACTGGCGATCCCTTTTACCACCTCTGCGAGACTGCCAAACTCGTTGACACGAAGTGGTTCGCTCTCACAGACAACTATCACATCATCAAAGCACCGGTCAGTGTTCTGATGGACATGGGCGACAAGCCCGTGCTGCCGTACGTCCTGAGAAACTCCAAGTACTGCGGCGAGCGCCCGAACTGTGAGGCCTCCATGTTGCAAGCAGAGGGACTGTTCAGCATCACCTTGAACTACCACCACGACAAGTACGAGGTGCTGTACAAGACGGACGATGCCAAGATGTTCTGCGATGCATGGGACCTTGCAACAGGCAGCACAGCAAACGAGTCGTGGGCCAATTGCAGCTTGTCCTTTGGCCCAACCGGGGATGACTACATCGCCTGGAAGATCAGCGTGGACCAGAACATCACCGAGGAGTTCACTCCAAAGGACAAGACACGCTACGGCTGGAGAGCCTGGACGAGCCTGTGGAATCCGGCCCCAGTTGACAGTCGCGCGTGCACGCCGATGCTCTACGGGCCCAAGGAGTACCTAGAGACGCTTGGCAACATCTCCCACTGTGCTGTTGACTACGTTGAGAATGCCGCGGCATGTGAATCTGATACCACATGCGAGTGGAAGGCCATGTTCGAGTCCGGCGTGTGCTTCCAGGACCCGAAGAGCGTCGCCACGACGACCACAATGGCGGGAGTGACCTACAGCACCATCGAAGTCACGTTGCCGCTCACCGTGGACGATGCAGCTGCGATCCTCAACAATGCTACCGTGCAGGACGCCATGAAGCAAGGCTTTGCAACGGCGATGGAGGTGCCTGTGGAGGATGTGATGCTGGAAATTCAGGCCGCTCGGCGGTTGAGTGCTCACACGAGGAAGCTTCAGACCGAGCTGCTGGCCGTCTTCACTGTGATCATGCCCAGCCTTGAGGATGCCATCGTGAAGCAGGTGGAGATCGAGACCGTTTCCTTGGATGCCACCAACCAGGCCATCGCCAGTGCCGTTGCGAGCGCGGGCTTCTCGGGTGCCTTGGAGGTTACCGGCAAGATGACCATGCGAGTTCCGGCTCCGACCACGACCACCACGACCACGACCACGACGACAGAGGCCGGCAACACCACCACTACCGAGGGCGGTGATGACGGCGATGCTGGAGACGACGGGGACGATGGTGACGATGGCGATGGCGACGAGCAGCCGCCCAGCTCGGCCATCGCGGGCAGCGCGTCCGCTGCCGTGCTGGGACTTGCTGTCGCCCTCTTGGCCTGAGGTTACTTTGGTACGGAATGCAAAGGCATTTCACCGTTTCCCCATCGTGATTTGTTGGTATCGCTTGATCCATGCTGGTCCTGAGCATGCCCAGCAGCACTGACATGGAAGCCACATCAGTTAACTTACTCCACTTATACTAAGACTCCGTCACAAGAGCATCGGCGCATGCTGGCAAGGCGCAGGAGGGTGCCGAACAAGACGCACCTGCACGTCCCTTTAGGATTAGGCTCCGACGTGATGGAACTGCAGACATCGAAGATGTGAAAGAGGACTCGCGCGAGAAGACTTTCCATTGCAGAGGGATGCCGATGCCCCCGCTCGCGAGACAGAGCTGCTTTAGTGCTCATGTCGTGATTCCAGTTGTTTGTCTGTTCCTTCCGTCACTTCTGCAAGACATCCCGGTCCATCCCATTCCGAAACGATGCACTCGGCCTCAGGGCATCCCAACTTGTCTTACATGTCACTCCATCTTTCTCAGACCCCAGCTACACAGTGCGGCTTGACCGCGGCATTCCTGAGCTCGAACTTCGGAGAATGCTCAGTTCTGATCCTTGAGCTTTCTTGGCGGGCTCGTGGCAGCTCAGCCCCCCTGCACATGCGCTCTGTGGCAAGGTCGTTAATGGCGTCAGCATAACCCCACCCCCCCGCCCGCCCCATACTTCCGGATGAACTTTGGCTTGTGTGGAACATGCACTCATGTTGCGATTGCTTCTTGAGCCATTTTAAGCTGTCTCCCTTCCGCCGGTGCGCATCTGCCATGAAGCTGCTGGCCTTGGCACTGACAGCTTTGGCAGTCGTCCAGATCCGCGCTGGAGGACTCAAATTCTCCAAAATCCTTTCCAAAATTGCATGACGCAGGTTTTCTTCCCAAACGTACTCGGAGGGCTTCAAGAAAGCCCAACAGGGCCATGCTGCAGGGACAAACTCGGCACTCAGCATCACGAGAATGTGTATGCGTTTTGTGAGAGCCGATGCGGCGAAAAAAATCATACTCAGGGCTTCAAAGGTGTGGTACAGATGGGCTGTTGTGTTTTTCAATTTGTCGGCATGTGTTGAAGTCTGCCAGCAGGCTTGCAACGTCACCCGAAAACAACCAACATTTCGTCACAGGACATGCAGGACACGAACACCTCGCTGTCGTCCGGGTCTTCTCGACGGAGGAAGAGCTGCAGCTACTGATGGACAGTGTACCGAAGTGGGATATGGCCGGTGCAATTCCGTGCACCAACAAATCGAACGTGAGTGAGATCGACCTCATCTTGGTGTACAGCAAGGACCTGGAAACCGACGCTGAAGCCAAAAGCACGGTGGGTATGATTGAGGATGATTTCCACAATGAATCCTTCGGCTGGATGAGCTGCTTTTCCAACATCAAGAACATGTCGGCCAAGTTGAACCCGGAGCAAGACGTCTATGACAATCGTGGCTACACCACGAACAAGCACTGGGTCTCCGGCCCCAATGCCGTCTTCTCGAAAATCATGATGGCCATGATGGAGGGCGAGTTCAATGATACGTACGACATCTTCTTCCTAATGGAGATGGATGCCGTCCCCATCAAGGACCACTGGCTCGACCAGTTCGAGATGGAGGCCCACGAGATGGCCGACAATGGCATGGCCATCCGCGGGAGCCAGTACCTGGGCGACAAGTGGGACCTTTTCAAAGCAATGATGCCGACATACTTGGTGGAGCACATCAACGGCAATGCCATGTACAACCTCAAGCACCCTTGGACCAAGGCGGTGTACGATGCTTTCCACAGCATGGATGGCGGCAGCATGATGGAAGAGATGGCCTTCGACGTCGCCTTTGCCATGATAACTATGGATGCGATGTCAGGGAACACTAGCCAGTTCGCAGCTGCCTGGGCAGCTGCAGGAGGCAACAGCCAGACCTACAACTGGGATTCCATGCTGGTAGGCAACTACGCCAACACCCTTCTGAACACCAGCTTCGAGTTCCCGACTTACATCCGCCACGGCTCCAGCAAGAACCTGTTCGCGAACTTGGATGACGAACACGTGACGCTCGGAGTGGCTGTGTTCGATCACCAGGGGCACTTGAAGGACACCATCCCCACGCATCACCCCTTCAAGAAGATCCTGGCTCTGACCTACTACCCGCATCCGCAGCAGATGGACATGTATGAGACTCCGGTCGGCAACGTGACCATGACGACGCAGGCAGCCACTGGCGATCCCTTTTACCACCTCTGCGAGACTGCCAAACTCGTTGACACGAAGTGGTTCGCTCTCACAGACAACTATCACATCATCAAAGCACCGGTCAGTGTTCTGATGGACATGGGCGACAAGCCCGTGCTGCCGTACGTCCTGAGAAACTCCAAGTACTGCGGCGAGCGCCCGAACTGTGAGGCCTCCATGTTGCAAGCAGAGGGGCTGTTCAGCATCACCTTGAACTACCACCACGACAAGTACGAGGTGCTGTACAAGACGGACGATGCCAAGATGTTCTGCGATGCATGGGACCTTGCAACAGGCAGCACAGCAAACGAGTCGTGGGCCAATTGCAGCTTGTCCTTTGGCCCAACCGGGGATGACTACATCGCCTGGAAGATCAGCGTGGACCAGAACATCACCGAGGAGTTCACTCCAAAGGACAAGACACGCTACGGCTGGAGAGCCTGGACGAGCCTGTGGAATCCGGCCCCAGTTGACAGTCGCGCGTGCACGCCGATGCTCTACGGGCCCAAGGAGTACCTAGAGACGCTTGGCAACATCTCCCACTGTGCTGTTGACTACGTTGAGAATGCCGCGGCATGTGAATCTGATACCACATGCGAGTGGAAGGCCATGTTCGAGTCCGGCGTGTGCTTCCAGGACCCGAAGAGCGTCGCCACGACGACCACAATGGCGGGAGTGACCTACAGCACCATCGAAGTCACGTTGCCGCTCACCGTGGACGATGCAGCTGCGATCCTCAACAATGCTACCGTGCAGGACGCCATGAAGCAAGGCTTTGCAACGGCGATGGAGGTGCCTGTGGAGGATGTGATGCTGGAAATTCAGGCCGCTCGGCGGTTGAGTGCTCACACGAGGAAGCTTCAGACCGAGCTGCTGGCCGTCTTCACTGTGATCATGCCCAGCCTTGAGGATGCCATCGTGAAGCAGGTGGAGATCGAGACCGTTTCCTTGGATGCCACCAACCAGGCCATCGCCAGTGCCGTTGCGAGCGCGGGCTTCTCGGGTGCCTTGGAGGTTACCGGCAAGATGACCATGCGAGTTCCAGCTCCGACCACGACCACCACGACCACGACCACGACGACAGAGGCCGGCAACACCACCACTACCGAGGGCGGTGATGACGGCGATGCTGGAGACGACGGGGACGATGGTGACGATGGCGATGGCGACGAGCAGCCGCCCAGCTCGGCCATCGCGGGCAGCGCGTCCGCTGCCGTGCTGGGACTTGCTGTCGCCCTCTTGGCCTGAGGTTACTTTGGTACGGAATGCAAAGGCATTTCACCGTTTCCCCATCGTGATTTGTTGGTATCGCTTGATCCATGCTGGTCCTGAGCATGCCCAGCAGCACTGACATGGAAGCCACATCAGTTAACTTACGCCACTTATACTAAGACTCCGTCACAAGAGCATCGGCGCATGCTGGCAAGGCGCAGGAGGGTGCCGAACAAGACGCACCTACACGTCCCTTTAGGATTAGGCTCCGACGTGATGGAACTGCAGACATCGAAGATGTGAAAGAGGACTCGCGCGAGAAGACTTTCCATTGCAGAGGGATGCCAGCTCAAGATAGCTGATTCATAATGTTGTGATGCCAGTCCTGTGTTCATTTTGTCGGCCAGCGATTCTGAAAGTCCATGTGCGGTGTTGGGTAGAGGGAGTGGGGTGGGGGTGCTCACGGGTGGAACATCCGCATGTTCACTGCGAGGTGTATAAAAGAGCACCTCCTGTTGTTTGAAGGGTGAGGTGCTACAGTGACGGGTACGAAGGACAGCAGCCTCAATAACGGGGGCAGAAGGGCAGGGATCAGAACACACCGGAGCCATCACCAAATCGGGATCAGAACACAGGAGGGACATGAAGGAGGCCAGGATCGGAAAACGAGCATGACGTTCACCACCAAACCCCCTGCTCCCAACATCCATCTCTTTGACCAGCAAAGTTCATGGGAGCGAAGAACAAAGATGCCGTGGTGAAACCCTGTATATAATTGCTTCAGACAGCCGGAACGCTGTTTACGCTGTAATGTGTCCACACAACATCAGTACACGAACAGTATGCGGTCGCGAGAGCGTGCTTGTGACCTCACGATGGTTGGGACAGGCGTTTGCTTGCAGTCGCAGTTGCTTTTCCAGCGAGTTTTAGTGCAGTTCCTTCTGCTAGTTGTGCGGTTGACATGACGCCGCTGGCCTTGGTGCCAACTCTGGCCGTCGTCCAGAGCCGGGCTGGAGGACACAATCTTCCCATGCATCTTCAGTTTGTGGAATGTCTGTTATACGTTGTGCCGACATGAACGTAGTATTGGCTGTGTCAGGCATGCATTCAGTTCCTAATGTGAATTTGTAGCAGCTAGAATCTTGAAACTAGGTTCGAGCCACAGAATTAGTTTGCCGCAGAGCTGCGGAGAATGACGCAGAATAGACGACGACGACGAGCTCAGCTGAGAAGCAGTGAAGACGAGCATGGCGGAGAATGGGACTCGATTAATTCTAACTGAATACATACTAGTATGGCAGATCCAGCTGACCTTATGCCAACGGCCATGATAATCATGATGCTTTTAAGCCTGCGCGAAATGACCAAATAACTTGCAGCCTACGGTGCCGCGGGCGACCGGCGAGTGGCTCGTCATCGTGCTCAGGCGGACCCTTCATTCGGGGAGACCCGTCGTTTGCAAAGGAATGCACGAATGCTTTCAAGTTGGGAGAAAGTACCGAACATTGTTGCAACGCCGACGCCCTGCACGTATTCATCACCTGACACTGTTACACCCGAGTTTGTGCTCCCTGATAAGCTTTCCAGCACCGACTTCATCAGTTGACGCACTGATTGACCGGCTTGATGGGGAAACGGTCAATCGTGATGGCGATGAGCTGGCCGTCGAAAACTAGGGTGATGCCTTAAGCGAATTCGTCGATGGAGAAACATCCACGGCTTTAGTGAGAATCAGGAATCATGACCGATCTTGAGGAAATTATTGAAGCAACCGTCAGTTTGGAATTGGAAAAGATATATTTATTGTTTTCGGAAGTTAGCTATGAGCCAGCATCGCGCCATGAGCGCCTGCAAACAAGACAGACCGTCTACATTCGGTCTGTGCGCAAGCGAAGTAGTATAATCGAGAGAACGGCATTCATGTGAAGGAAAGCCGCCTCGGAACGCGAAGGGCAATAAGGGGGGGGGGAAGCGATGAAGGCGAATGAAAGACAGACGCACGGACAGAGCAAGAGGATCCGGGCACGCGCGAAGGCGGATGGATCTGAGCGCATGATTCAAGGGTGACGAGGGACACGACGAATGCGTCAGAGCAGCAGCAGCAACATGGTCCGATATGTTGACGACGAAGCACGTCGGACGTGCACCCGTCGAAGATGAAGAGCCAGCAGGGTTGCGCATCCGACCGGAGCATTCGACTTCAGCGGGACAAAAACCGGACTGTCATAGCGGCAGCTGGACATGATGCAGATGAACCAAAAGCCAGCACAAAGCTGAGGAAGATGGAATGTGCCGACAGTGTGGAGGAGGGAGCAAATGAGAAGGAGCACGTCGACGCTGGAAGAGCAGAAGTAGAGGGAGAAATATGATCTCGCCCAAAGAAACCTGTTTCACGCTTGAAGACATAGTCGGAGGGCAAATGCAGCAACAAGTAAAGTCTATCTCGGGGAGATGTCTAGAAGCCGCGGCCACGGCGAGGGCGAGGATTGCGATTCGGAATCCGTACACCGGCAGGGTGAGACAGACACCAGCCAAGGCAGTGACGTCCGGGGACGAGGAAATTGTGCGATGAGGATACGGAGCTGTTGTTCAGGCAACCAATCCGGCACACATGGGTCAGGGTCGGGTTCATCCGAAGATTAGAAGTCCACGGACTGGACTCGTCACGCCCCTCGCGCAAAAAGAGGAAACATACAAACGAAAAGTCACCCTGTCTCACGTGTCACGAAGAGTCGCGGAGAATGGCGTAGGGTAGAACCTTGGACATGGTTCCCAAGTTCCCAACAGAGGGGAAGGAACTGAGCGGATGGCATGACACGGCTGAAACTTGGTAGGTTTGCGTGATGTGTGTCAAAGTGGGGTGCAAAAGCGAAACACCGAATGCCGCTGCCTCGCTGCCTATGTGCGGGGCCGTCGTGCTTGCGACTTTGCAGTTTCAAGAAGCACTTCGAGCAGTTGTGTCCCGAGCAAGCCATGGTCATCTTCCACTTCGCATACTTGCCATTTGTCCAGGAATAGAGGAGCAGCCCGAGCTCACTTTTCAAGAAGTGGATCATCGCTGATCGCCTTCACACTCCGATTGCTGCCGCTGGTTCAATCGTGCGCAGCGTGCCCTGCGAACTTTCGGCCATGGATGAAGGTTGATTCGGAAGAGGAAGTGTGATCAACCCTGTAGATCCAGTCGCTTTGATGGTTTTTGTGGTGCCAGAAGAGACCAGTCGTCCACCCCCCGGTCAGTGGTCGACGACTTCACCAGTTTCTGAGTGTTGCGAAACTGGTCGAGACCCTGCGCCCAAGGGAGGTCCGCACGGCCGGCTGTTCACAAGTGAGGAAAGCCCGAAGCTGACCTCAGTAAGCGATGCCTGGCATATCACTGCCTGCACAAGCTGTACGCAGTAATGAAGATATGCTCTGGCATGCTTGCAGTCTTAGAGATGCTGCCCTTCACTGCAGCAGGAAACAACGAGGGCCGAAGCTGAGTTAGCTCAAGCCAAACACTTAAAGAAACTCATGGCTGGGACAAAAGCCAGACATGACAAAACTAGTCGAGAAGAAAAGGCCCGCAGGCCTAGAAGCTCAGAAGGTCAGGTTGCAGGAGCTCAGGGGAACTGGCCGCCGGCAGCAAGCGGAACGTCGGAGTCACGCGCCGAGGCCGCCACACGATCATCCCCAGGAGCCCGCTCACGAGGGCGAAGTCCATGTCGACGGAGCTCTGAGTGAAGAGCCTCACCCGAAGCAGCTGAGGCCTGAATGGCTCGAAGTTCCCAGGCTCTGGCAGCATCACGATGCTGCCACCAAGCCTCCATTGCACCACCAGAGAACCTTCGAAGACGGCAGTCTCCAGCGGCCTCGTCAGCTCGCGCGTTGAGCCTGCGCAGAAGGTCTCCACAAAGGCCAGGAGGGGCAATCCATCCTGGTCGCTTCCCATGGCTCGGGACCCAGACGCAAGAGACAGCCACTCCACGTCCCCGAAGAACACGTAGGGAAGCCTGGACGGAGTCGACAAGCTTCAAGTAGTAGCAGAAGTGGTCACCCTTCTGCAGCACCAGGGAGAGGGCCGATTGACAGTCGAGAACAAAGACAACTCGACGAGTCCACGAGGAGCGTGTGACAGCTTGCACTACTGCCTTAGCCGCAACGTCGAAGCCAAGGAGCTCCTGCTTGAACGGCGACTGGTCTTCCTCGGCAGTGCCCAGGGCGCACACGAAGTCACCCGGGTACACAGCAGCAGCGAAGGCGCCCACTTTTTTGTCTTCAGAGCCGTCTGTCGCAACGAAGAGCACCGCAGGGTCCGCAGAGAGCTGGGTCTCCAAGGCCTCGGCGGAGGTTGTTCGGGGACTCCACGAAGAAGGAGTCTCTCCTCGCACCTGTCGACCGGCAACTGCAACCCCTCACGAAGAAACGCAGTTTTCTCACAATTCCAAAGAAGGTGGGCTCTGGAAGGAGTCCGCAGACCACAAAGGCATCGCCACCGATCGTGATTGGCGTCAAAGTTGCCCCCGGCATTGAAGTGCCAACACGAGCTACCCGCACCCATGGCAGAAAGAGTCACGCTGCGGAGGCCCATGTCCAACGCGGTGTGGAGGCCATCGAAGTGGTAGTCCTGATGCCGGCTAGGTGCTGGCAGATCAAGTCCAACAGCGAGGCCTTCTTCATCACGGTGAAGCCGACGCTGGACCCGGCCGGTGCGAGCGACATAGAGCTGCCGGAAGTGCTGCACAAGCCAGTCCTTAGCAACTCGAAAGCCATCAATTCCCGGTGTGCGGATCCGTCCAGACCGATCGGTTCTGCTCACCTCAGTCGAAGCAAAGTCGACCTTCCAGTTAAGCTTCCGAAGAACTTCAGGGAGCTCAGGCAACAAGGTCCTCCAACGAAAACGAGCTTCACTCAAAGCGACAGTGTCAAGCCAGCGAGGTTGCTGGATGCTGGCCTTCCAAAGAATGCGTAAAGCACCTAGGTCACAAGCAAAGTTCGGTTGCAAGTCCCAGCCAAGCACCTTGTAGAGGCACACCTTAGCAAAGCCAGCCGTGAAGCCCTGGTTGAAAACATTTTCGATTTCAGTCTTGATGGCGTTCAGGTCATCGTTATCGCACCTCGCAAAGCCAGAGGCCCATGCGAAGGGCGGGACCACCAAAGAAGCCAACAGGAACTTTTGGTGTGTAGAGTTCCTCGTGCACCACCCTAGGAGCCTGGCACGAAGGATAGCCTTTCGAGCATGGTATTTCAGAAGCGTCCACTCGTCCTGAAACTTAGCCCGAACCCCAAGGATCTCGAGGTCGGGCATCACCTGGAAGTCGAACTCAGCAGCGAGAGCCCGATGCTCAGGGCCGAGAGTCGGAGCCACAACGGAACATTTCTCAATCGAAAGTCGCAGGCCAAAGGCACGGTCATAGGAAGTGGACCTGGCCATGGCATCCCGAAGAGAGTCAAGCGAGGCCCCAGCCTTGGCCCAGACCGTGCGGTCATCAATGTAAGCCAAAGCGCCGAGGGAGCGTGAAGAGTTGCCAATCACATACGTAGACCAAAGGTACGAAAGTAGGGCCGCAATGACCGGAGAAAGAGGACAGCCCTGCGCAATCCCAGAAGAAACACTGCTCCACGAAGAGTTGAGGGAGCCCGCCAAGGAGAAAATTCTCTCGGCACCACTATAAAAGTCGGTCAGAACAGCGAGCACAGGCTGAGGGAAGCGCATATGGGTCAAGGCCCGATGCAAATTAAGCCTCCATGTGGATGCTGTCGAAGGAGCTCTTGATGTCAGTCTGGATGAAAGCCACAGCACCATCGGTCATAGCCTTTCGAATTTGCATGAGGGCCGCCTGGACACTGGTTCCAGGAAGGCCTCCAGCAGCAGTGTGGTCCGCCCAGGTGTCGATCCAGGGACCAAGTTGGGCCTGGATGACCCTGGTGCCGGCTCTCCAAAGGCTACACAGTAAGGTGATCGGCCGAGTCCGTCTGCGGGATTTCCGCAACAAGGCAACACGGGCCTTTCGCCGCTGAGCAGGAACCTTGCCAATGACCAGGATCCGATTCCAGAGCGAAGCGGCCCAGCGAAACCAAGCCAGCGGGAGCTTCAAGAGCTCCGACCGGAGCCAGCCATCAACTCCACCACCTTTGCCACGCATCGCGGCCATCGCTCGCTGCAGATCCTCAGCCCCAATATAACAAGATGGAGGTTCTGAGCAGGTGGGCGGGGGATGTCACTCAAAACAGTGACGATAGCCGCAAGATTACCAGCAAAAGGGGCCTTCCATTTGCGGAGCCATTCATCAGCTTGCTCCTTCACAGCAATGGCAGGGTGCCACCCACCCGACGCGGTTGAGAGGTCCTCGGGGTCCTCTTCCCAAGCAAGCTGCTCATCAGCACGACGTTTGACGTAGGAGCGAATAGCACCAAGGTCCTGGTCCATGCGATCTTGCCATCGTCGGAGGTGGAGGGCACGCTCAACCTTGTTCACCTCGGCGACACGGGACTCCACGAGCCTCACCGCCTCCTCATCGCCACATTGCAACCGGGGAAGATCAGGAAAGTAGGAGCGGGCCTTGGCGCACGCAGCCTGACAAGCCACAACCAAAGGGCGATCCCATGGCCGAAGCGCACAAAGCTGGAGCTTGGGCAGTAGCCGTCGTAAAGCACGAAGCCCAGGCGACTGATCCAAATCATGATCCGTGTCTTTGCGCCGTGGAGGGGGCCGGGGGGCCCAGTCCGCGGACCTGGGCACCAGGCCCGCAGCAGCCGGCTGGTAAAGGAGGTCCTCGGCATAGTCCGACATGAAGGTCCACGCGTGGTCCAGGTCCTTGTCCAAAAGGTCCTGGAAATGCCTCTCCACCGCCGCCGGGAACACGAAGTCAGCATCACAGGCATTCTCAAGGGGAGCCCGTCGCCTAGGAGGAGTGACCAAAGTGTTCGGTGCATCCCCGTCAAACTGGTACACCGCCACACGATGGTCCGAAAGAGACCCGACCTCGGCCTGGGCACGTGCAACACCTCCATAGCCATAAAGTCGTGCAGGGTGAGGCCGTAGTCGATCCGACGCCGCCGGGAGACACCATTGTGCTTTGGGCCTGTAGGTGGAAGCGGTCGCCACGAGCCGCCTCATCACAAGCGCGACAGGCACCATGTTGGATAGTTTCAGCAATGAAGCCCTCCTCCTGGGTGGTATTCCAGTCCCCAAAGAGGAGGGACGGCCTGCCAGAATAGTCGGCCGAGATCAGGATATCACGGGCTTGGGCATCGGCAGTGGCGATCTGCCCACTCTGCAAGTAAACTGCAACACACAGCACCGACATGGTTCTGCCGGCAACCTGCAAGTCAACAAAGGCAGCCGCATGCCGTGACAAGCCATCGGCCTCGCGCAACTTTACAGCTTTGAAGGGGATCTTGCTGAGCAGGGCCACCCTACAAACACCATTTTCAGGGAGGCTAAGATGGACATGCCAGCCGTGCCGTTTCCACTCGTTGGCCCAAGAGGTCCTCGAATCAATGTTCACATCCACCTCACTAACAGAGACCAAAGAAACCTGCCAGGCGTCAAGGAGAGGCCTCAGAGAGGGCCCGAAGGACACCCCTTTCCTGGCAGCATTGATGCACATAGCCCTCAAAAACACGGCGAGCCGGGCTTTGCAAGAATGGTCTTGGCAGTTGCAAAAAGTTCAAGACCCTTATCCCTCGAAGCACTACCGACCTTACTCGCAAGAAGCCGGGCCTTGTCCTTGTCGAGATTCTGGAGACGAAGCCTGACAAGGGCCTTCACCTGACTCGGTCGAGGCCCGTGGGAGCACTTGTCCTTTAGATGCCTCTTTGCCAGAGCGTTGGTACGGCAAGGGGCGAAACAGGATTTGCAGGCCCAGGCTGGCGGGTATCGGATGGGGTTAGCCCTCTTACCTGCAAGCTGCTTGCCGACGAACTGGGGCCACCTGAAGAAATCAAAGTGCTCAAGCAACTCAGGGTGTTCCTTGGAGTGCTGCCGAAGGAGAGTCTTGTGCCGCCTATGGACCCTTATACTATAGAGGGAGGGGGTTTAGGGTTGAGGTTTTAGGGGCCTAGGGTTTAATGTGAAACTAAGATGCTCGAGAGGGTCCACTAAGCTAGGGGCAGCTACAAAAACCCTCCCGGCTCGCTTGAGCGTCGAAGGACGCCTTTTCCTTGACTCGCGCCAGAATGCCTTTGGGTACCTTGCAGGTGGTTCTTCTGAAACTATGCGGGGTGCAGAACCAGTATGCGATCACTGACTCGATGCAATACTCGTAGGGAAACACATCATGACACTTGCAAATACCATCAAGTTTCACACTGGTTCTGTCTCTGACCTTTCTGTTGTTGATCAGAACCCCTTCCTGCCCGATAGAAAGTGGCAGTAAAAGAGATCCCGCCACGGTGTCCCACCATTCAGATGGGTTCTGTGGCTTCGTCAAAACATCCCCTCTTTGAAGGGCGCCTGGAATCCAGGCAATGGGCAAACGATCACCCCACTTCTCAGACCTCAGTCCTTGGCGTAGCGCTGCCAAGTCGACTGCGAGGCGCTTGTCGCTGGGGACTCGCGGTATGCCTTGTCGATTGAGGTGGTCGTAGAGCGATCTGCAGTCGCTCAAGCAGAGAATGGGAAGCTCCGCACGGTCGACCGTGATCAGGGTCCCCTTCACCAGGGACTCGTACATGGATCGCAGGTACTGGCCTGTCTCGAGGCCTTCCGCGCAGGCCTGGGTTTCTGCTCCTTTGTCCCGCTCTTGACCTCCAGTCTGCAATATTGCAGACTCCTGCCCGTCCAGAGACGGCGACACGATCCGCGAAGGTCACTAGGATGCCGAGCTGCGAGGCCACCTTCGAGTTCCCCTTCTTCGCTTTCCGCTGGTTGCTGGCCGAGTACGGCCCCTCCTTTTGTAGGCCGAGGTCGTTCTCCGCGACAGTCAGGACGTAGTATCTCTTTTGGGGGTCTGGCTCCGGAACATTGGCCCACGCGGCGTCGTGGTAGACGATGATCATGAGCCTTCCCTTCGGTATGGGCCGGAACTCCAGCCCACGGTCTCGAAACTGGTGAGCCTTTGCCGCAATCCCGTTAGTGAACTTGAGGTCACCGATGGTGGGCGACTTCTGTAGTTGCTGCGCCATACTGACGGCGCAGTTCAGATCGGGACGGGTTTGTGCACTCATCCACGAAAGTGCACCGATCAGGCTTCGGTTGTCGCTAACCAGTTCGGGGGAAGCAGGTTCTCCTTCGTCAAGTCCAGCTGGCACGTCTAGGGTGAAGAGGCGGGTCTCCGCGTACTTCACCTGGGTCATGGTCACCTTGTCCCCTTCGACAGCAATCTGCGACCCCAGGAACTCGAACTTGTCGACTTCCCAGGTCTGCACTTCGAACTTGTTCGCCAGAGCTTCTTGGATCCGTTCTTGAAGTAGGCGAGGGGCGGCGATGAGCAAGTCATCGACGTGACATCCAAGATATGCCACCGGCTCACCCTCAAAGCTCCCATTCCGAACTCGGCGCAACAAGATGCACGGGTCTAGGGCCGACTGCTCGAACTTGTGGGTGGCCTTGTCGTCGAGGAAGGGCAGCTCGATCTCGATGTCGAAGATCCCGGTCTGAAGGTCTTGCCACCAAGTGTGAGGACTCGTGGCGAGGCCGAAAACATTCTTTTTAATCTTCACGAGTTGCCCCGGGAGCATCCCCGGGAGCCCAGTCTTCGGTTGGTGCATGTAGAGCTCGCGCGACAGATAACTGCCGGTAAGGAAAGCACACCTGATGTCGCCAGCCGATAAAGCCCACGGGTCTTCTTCACAAAGTCCATCGGCCGTCCTTTGCAGCATGCAGGTCAATCCACTTCTGGATAAAGTCGGCGCATCGGTGCTGAGCTGCATCTCCTCGTTGCAAAGATCTGGGTCGGTGTGACCTGCGATGACCAGCCTCGACTTGCACTTCCACGGTAGGTCCTCCCCTTCTCGCCGTCGTGACCAGTTTTTGTCCTTGTAGGCCCATCGACTTCGGAGGACGCGGTCTGCGGGAACTTCTCGACGGACTCGCTCGCTTTCGTCGGTGCCGAGGGGCTCGAGGGCGTCGAAGGACAGGTGTTCTTCCCACTGCTTGCGCTCGGCCTCTCTGAACTTGTCGTGAACTTCAGGTGGGATCTCGGCCCACTTCAGCTCCTTTTCCTTTCTCTTCTCCAAGCCCCTTGTAGTAAGCTGCCGTCTTCAACATCATCGCCTCGTGCCTGTCGGGGTCCAGATCAGCGACCGCCGTCTTGCGTTTGAGTCTCCTCCTCGGACCGGGAGATCGCCGCCGTCGCCTCCCAGGAGGGGCTCGAGGGCAACTCCTTCGTCGTTCCCGGGGTCGCCCGGGGCATCATCTTCGTCCCAACTCATCTCCCCTTCAAGGATCTCGTCGAGGTAGTCCATGTCGTCCCCGTCCTGGTAAACTTCGTCGGCGTCCGGGTCGTGATCAAGTAGTCGCTCGACTTCCCTCTGCGTCCCCTTCATGGCTAAGAGAGCGCCAACTTCTTCGGCCGTGGTCGGCCGAATGTGCTCTGCCGAAGTAAGTCTGCACCTTCCGCCCTTTGACAGCCAGTAGTTGCCGCCTTCCTTGCCGACGATGACTGCTGGTCCAGTCCAGCAACCTCTCCTTCGGTTCTTGGGTTTGTGCCAGAGGTGCACACTTTCTCCAACATCGAGCGGTCGAGAAGACACCCTCGTTCTCTGCAGAAGCGCCTTTCGGAGGCGCCCGTCTGTTTGGCTCTCATGGAATGCCACCCTGGCGGCGGCCCTCATCGCGGACTGCCTCTGGTACTTGGCATCCTCACTGACGTCCCAGAGAACATGGGCTCCGCCGTCGGGGTCTTGTAGATCTTCAGGAACTCGAGGGGCCTTGCCAAAGACCCACTGGGACGGACTGTAGCCGCAGCGCCTCCTCAGGTCATTCTTCGCGGCGTTGATCACGGGGACGACGAGCTCGACCTCGTACTGATAGCTGACCTTATCCCAGACGTGCTTCCACCAGGCCTGTTGTCGCTCGACGACGCCTGCCTGCCAGTGGCTTTGTGCGGCCACACTCCGCACTCCAATCCCATGCCAATCGCAGAGCCTGCCGAGAGCGCCTTGAAGCCCCTTCTAGGTCAATGACGACCGCTTTCGGGGGTCCAAAGGGGATCAGCCACATGTCGTTGAACTTGGCCTCGATATCCTCGGCAGACTGCCCATCGACCTTGATCGCGAGGTGGTAGGTGGTGCCGTTGTCCACAACAGAAAGGAAGGCGTGCTTCACGTCGTCGGTGTCGTGACAGAAGAACAAAGCCAAGCCGAGGGTGTCATTGAAGTCCGCCATCGGAGGTATGGTACTCGGTCTGGCAATCTTCGGTGCCGCATTAGCCTGGCAGAATTGGCACTGCATTGATCTGGCCGCTTTCAAGATGGACGAGCTGCTAGTCTCAAGTGGCGGATCAGATCCTCCTGGCGAGGGTGTCCCAGGTTTTGGTGCAGTCTCCGTAGTGCCGTCGCAACGTTGCGCGGCGTATCCTTGCCGAACGATATCCCAGTCGCACCCATAGGAAGGTCGCCCTTGTCATCGCTGGGTTTCGCGGTGGAGACGACTTTCACCTCATGGACCCGGTCGCCGCACTGCACCGCCTTAGTCTGCTCCTTGTTCTTGAAGAAGACGAAGAAAACCTTCTCGTTCTCCTGGCTCACATGCTGGCAAACTTCACGTAAACTCTCTCCATGTAGGTGGGCGACCACTGCTGTCGCGGCAGTCGCCCGTCACGACCACGGTCCCGCCATCATCGAGCTGTTGCCTGATCAAGGCGAGGAGGGCTTCGTCGCACTCCTGGAACTTTCCTTCAAGATTGATGCGTAGCTCTCGCGGTCCACCGCCGTTGACGATGTGGTAGGCACTCTCTTTGCCCTCCGGGGAGCGGTATCGCTCCCATGTCATCGGCTCGAAAACATCCTTCCCGATTGCGGCCGCCTCGTGCGTCGCGTCCACTCCTCCAATCTCAAAGATCACGACCGGGTTTGCCTCGACGGTGGGGAACACGTGCTCTGCCATGTAGCTCCCGGCCGTGGTGACTAAGGTCGCGAGCATCACCCCGATCTTCGCCGCATTGTTGAAGATCGATCTCCTCACACTCGCTCGGGGCTTGGCGCTTTCGCGCCTCTCATGCTGCCCTGTCTGTTGTCCCTTTGGTAGGGGAAAACCACACCCTTTGAGAAACTTCTTCATGCCGGTGCTCGCCTTGTAGAGGTTGCGGGTGGTGTGGTAGGTGATACACCACCTTGTCCCGGTCCAGAGCTCGGACCCGTGCTTGAGGAAGGGGTCGAACTGGAAGAACTTGTTGTGGGCGTCGTAGACGCGCCCGGGCAACCGCTGTCCGGTCCCAGTTCTCCTCCACTTGACCCCGCCAGAGAGGTTGTCCTCGGTGAGGTCCTTGTCTTCCAACCACACTCCTCCTCCAGTCTTCTGACCGATGTTCACGGTGTAGTTGGAGGTGCCCTTAAGGTTTTGGTAGTCGTGATGTACCTCGGTCTTTACATCGCGGGCCAAACTCACCGACGACCATGTGGCTTCTGGACCGAGGTGGTGCTTTGCATAGCCGTTGAGATACCTGACAACGTTGTCCTGCTCACGGGTCCTTCTTGTGAGCCCCACAACTCCGCCGTGGGAAAAGAGGCCGTAGGTGAAGTACTGGACGGGGTCGCCGGTCTTGCCGCCGAAGACTGCGTCGCGGCAGGACCTCACCGGCTCGATCGAATCCCCTTCCAACCAAAAGTCCGAATTGATGTTCGTCTTCTCCCACCAGTTCATAAAGGACACACCATACAACCGATCTTGAGTGAGCAACTCCTTGACGACAGGACTGAGTTTCTTATCGTAGAAGATCTTGTAGTGAGGAGCCTTGGTGGTGCCGGTGGTTGGTGTAGGTGACGTCGTAGGCTTCGTGGTGGAGTCCTCGGGGCCTGTTGTAGTCGAACTATCACAAGCTGGCTTAGAACGGACAAGGCAAAGGCAGTGTATTGCGAGCTGCTCTGAGCGGAGATCTCATCGATCACGAGCCTTTATGGCCCTCCGTCTGCCGTAGCCGGCACTATGGGAATCGCCGGGTGTCCAGACGAGGTAGTTACCAAGTCCACCCCAGTGAGCCCGACACGGGTAAAGTCGGCACGATTCTCGGCCACATCGTAGATCATCCCAAGCTGAGCCAGAGCCGGCTTCGACATCAGGAGCGGCACGTCCCCGTTGATGACGGATGTCCTCATCTCAACCACGCGGCTCCCCAAGCTGAAGCGCAGGATCACATGGAAGGATGAGTGATGTACCTTCCCGGTGCCGAACCTGAAAGACTCGGATTCACGGACCAGCTCCGGCGTCCCACCAAGGCTCTTGAGCACGTCGCTGTACTGCTGCAACCACATAGTTCCCGTGACCACTTTGGCGCATGCCGTGTCCGTTATCCCAAGCAGCGATGTCCCATCGTGCTTGAGCGTAAAGACTTCCGCCGGAACATGGTGGCAAACACCGACCTCCTTCACTGCCCGCGCAACTCCTTGCGCCGACGTCCCGAAATTGGGACACTCGGGATCTCGGTGCCAGTGGCCCTTCTTGCCGCAGCTGCCGCAGAACGACCTCGCTTTCATGATCTTGATCTTTTCGTCCTTGGATTGGTCGCCCTTCTTGGTAGCCTCTTTCGCTTGCCCTTGCGAGCGATCGCCTTGGAACCCTCTGGCCTTGACATGCTCCTTGTACCGGTCCTTCGCGCTCTGGTAGGTAGCGTAGGCAACCGCCACATCCTCAGGCACGCCGTCTTCCAAGTCAAGGTCCTGGTCACCATCAGCATCATCGGAGGCACCGTCGGGGGACTCAGTGATGTGGGCAGTGTAGGGCTTACGAGACTTCGAGGATTCCCACGGTTTGCGATGTCCCCTGTCATGCAACACAGCTGCTTGTTGAAGGCGGTGGAGGTTGTACTCGTTGCCGACGCTTGCAAGGAGGTTAAGTTCCTGTGGCTCGTCAAGTTGGAGGCGGTCGATATAAAGCCAAGCTGCGCATTCCTGGGGTATGCTGCAACCAACCTCCCTGAGACGAGCATGCAAACGATCGTACTCGGAGTTGTATTCCCTGATCGTTTGCCCCGGCTTTCTCTTGAGTCGTCTGAAGAAATCGGAAAAAGCCTTGCCTATCCTCGCAACTTCAAGATCAAGGAGCCTCGCATTGATCCACGACACGAAGTAACCAACTCCACTTTCAGAAGCAAGCCGAGGCACTGACAACTCCTCCGCGGCAATCCAAGCTTTCCCGCCCAGGTTCTGGTACAGCACGAGTCCCTGCTGAGAGGCCGGAAGAAGGGTCATGCGCCGCCACGCCTCGATCTGGCGTAAGTAGCTTCGGGCAGAACTGCCCACATCATCGGTGTCGTCACCCGTGAAGGAGGGGACAGCGAGCTTCTCGGATGCAACCCTGGAAGCCTCCATTCTCGTAGTGAGACCATCCTCCCCACGCAAGGCCTCCGTCGTCGTAGGTGTGACTCCCATTCCATGATCCGGGTCCTCGATCACCCGAATCGCTGCCAGGTCGCCGATTTGCTCGCCCATCCGCCCAGGGAGCTCCTCGTTGGTCGTCCCTTCCGTGGCCTCGGACTTGTTGAACATCGGGAGGTCCTCCGCTCCAAGGGTCGTTTCCATACGACCACGGGTCGTCGCCACTGCCGCTCCACCGATCGTTGGTGGGTGCCGTCGCCGCAGTGGTGGCGTCCCAACTTCGACGCCGATCCCATGCAGCAGCGTGGTCTGTATCACGCCAGCCGTGCCAGTCGTCTCCCCACGACTGTCTGTCGTGACCGTCCCAGGGACTCCTGGTGGAGTCCTGCCACTGACTCACGCCACTCCAGTGATCGCCGCCAGCATTCTGCACTCTGTCAACATCGTTCACATCGCCGGGCGGCTGAGAAGTCGCCGTCTGTTCGGCCGCGCCAGGGTCACCATCACCCGACACAGCATCAGCATGGCCCGTCATAGCAGGATCTAAGGAGCCGAGGTTCGCTACCAATGTGAAACTAAGATGCTCGAGAGGGTCCACTAAGCTAGGCGCAGCTACAAAAACCCTCCCGGCTCGCCTGAGCGTCGAAGGACGCCTTTTCCTTGACTCGCGCCAGAATGCCTTTGGGTACCTTGCAGGTGGTTCTTCTGAAACTATGCGGGGTGCAGAACCAGTATGCGATCACTCGATGCAATACTCGTAGGGAAACACATCATGACACTTGCAAATACCATCAAGTTTCACATTTAAGGTTTGGGGGGTTAGGGTGTACGGTGTAGGGTAGACAGCTCAGGACAACAGCAGTTCTCGATGCGAGCTGAACGTAGGGTTGGGGCTTTAGGGGCCTAGGGTTTACGTTTTGGGGGGTTAGGGTGTACGGTGTAGGGTATACAGCTCAGGACAACAGCAGTTCTCGATGCGAGCTGCACGTGGGAGCAGCATGCGGTTCGGACCTTTTGCTGCACCCCTTGAGATCATCGTGCCTTCGGTCGGACCCCACGTCGTGAGGATAGAACTAAAGAGCCCCGCATGGATGCTTGCAACATCTAGGTGTGGTCGAGTGCGATGGAGACCCCCAGCCGTGCATGTGTATGCGAGTGCATGTAATATGCTAGCATATATTGCTCCGGTCACACACCACACAGAAGCAAGCGGAACATGTCAAAAGCAATCAGCCGGTCCTTTGCCTCTTGTTGGGGCAAAAGTCGTCCCACTCTTCCTCTGCATTCTCCGGGCCCCCATCCACACCCCACTCCTCTTCCGGACCTTCGGCCCACTCGTCGCCGCCACAGTCCTCGTAGTCGTCGTCCTTGTCCTCGTCCGAGTGCGTGCCATCCGTAGCTTTGGCCTTGTGTTTTTCGGCCGCTTTTTCCTTCTTCTTCTTCTCGGCGGCGCAAACGTGTATTAGCTAAGCATCGTCTCTCGTGGGCAGTGACGATGTTCTCGGCATCTCCCACCGCTTTCGTGTGCACCTGCCAGCCAAAGCCAGCACAACTCACTAAAGTATGCCCCCCCCCTTCAATTAAGAAGCTTCCCACACCGTGCCTCCAGAGTAGTGCGTGCATCCTGGATCGCTTGCATGCAGACAGGCACCGGGGTGGACTGGAAGACCATCATCTGGATCCCGGCGATGTTGGGTTTAGGGTTGTGCTCAGGGTTTAGGGTCTAAAAGGTTTAAGGATTAAGGGTTAGGTTAGGGTTCAAGGCTTGAATTAAGTAAGTTCGTATTATAAGGCGTCGAAAACAGGGTTCAAGATTCTCGGGTTTAGGGTTGGGTATGCACTTTTAGGGGTTTAGGGTTTCGGGTTCAGGTTTTCGTTTAACGAAGACATCCCTATCGTATAATCAGGATAAAACCCGTAGAACAACTATATTAAGCAACATCTGAATGATCGTGGAACCTAGACGGTAGGATATATATCTATAAATCTATAAATATATGAGAGAGAGGCCTTTGGGGTCTATTTAACGCACCGCACAGACAGCTTGATCAGATAATTAAACAAATTAAATAAACAAAATCGGTAAACCCAGCTTTGATTATTTAATTAGTTTCTGCTGATTTAAAGAAAAAAAATAAACAAAATAATCAAACCGGTGTTTGCTGATTTTGATTATTTTGTTTATTTTGTTTTTTTTAATTATGAAGGCCGGGTCAGTTTCCCGGGCAAGTGAATTTATTTTGTTCATTTTGTTTATTTTGTATATTTTGTTTATTTACTTCAAACAAACAAAATAAGCAAAATCGGCAAACCCAGTTTTGACTATTTAACTATTTTCTGCTGATTTACTTAAATAAACAAAATAAACAAAATATATTTAATTGTGCGGGAAACTGACCCGGCCTTCAGAAATAAATAAACTAAATAAACAAAATAAACAAATAATCAAACCGGTGTTTGCTGATTTTGATTATTTTGTTTATTTTTTTATTTTCATTATGAAGGCCGGGTCAGTTTCCCGGGCAAGTGAATTTATTTTGTTTATTTTGTTTTTTGTATATTTTGTTTATTTACTTCAAATAAACAAAATAAACAAAATCGGCAAACCCAGTTTCGATTATTTAACTATTTTCTGCTGATTTACTTATATAAACAAAATAAGCAAAATAAACAACTTAAATTTAATTGTGCGGGAAGCTGACCCGGCCCTCAGAAGTAAATAGACAAAATAAACAAAATAAACAAAATAATCAAACCGGTTTTTGCTGATTTTGCTTATTTAATTATGAAGGCCGGGTCAGTTTCCCGGGCAAGTGAACTTATTTTGTTTATTTTGTTTTGTTTTGTATATTTTGTTTATTTACTTCAAATAAACAAAACGAACAAAATAAACAAATTCGGCAAACCCCCAGTTTTGATTATTTAACTATTTTCTGCTGATTTATTTAAATAGACAAAATAAGCAAAATAAACAAAATAAATTTAATTGTGCGGGAAGCTGACCCGGCCCTCAGAAGTAAATAAAGAAAATAAACATTGATTATTTTGTTAAGTTTGTTTATTTAATTATGAAGGCCGGGTCAGTTTCCCGGGCAAGTGAGTTTATTTTGTTTATTTTGTATATTTTGTTTATTTACTTCAAATAAACAAAATAAACAAAATAAACAAACTCGGCAAACCCAGTTTTGATTATTTAACTATTTTCTGCTGATTTAAATAAACAAAATAAGCAAAATACACAATATAAACAAAATAAATTTAATTGTGCGGGAAGCTGACCCGGCCTTCAAAAGTAAATAAACAAAATAAACAAAATAATCAAACCGGTGTTTGCTGATTTTGATTATTTTTTTGTGGTCATTTTCATTATGAAGGCCGGGTCAGTTTCCCGGGCAAGTGAATTTATTTTGTTTATTTTGTTTATTTGTCATAGTTTGTTTATTTACTTCAAATAAACACAACAAACAAAATAAACAAATTCGGCAAACCCAGTGTCGATTATTTAGCTATTTTCTGCTGATTTACTTAAATAAACAAAAAAACAAAATAAACAAAACATGTTTAATTGTGCGGGAAACTGACCCGGCCTTCAGAAATACATAAACTAAATAAACAAAATAAGCAAAATAATCAAACCGGTTTTTGCTGATTTTGATTATTTTGTTTATTTTGTTTATTTAATTATGAAGGCCGGGGCAATTTCCCTGGCAATTGTATATTTTTTTTTATTTTGTTTTTTTGGCGGTATATTCTGTTTATTTATTTCAAATAAACAAAACAAACAAAATAAACAAATTCGGCAAACCCAGTTTTGATTATTTAACTATTTTCTGCTGGTTTATTTAAATAGACAAAATAAGCAAAATAAACAAAATGAATTTAATTGTGCGGGAAACTGACCCGGCCTTCAGAAGTAAATAAACAAAATAAACAAAAAATCAAACCGATTTTTGCTGATTTTGATTATTTTGATTATTTTGTTTATTTTGTTTATTTAATTATGAAGGCCGGGTCAGTTTCCCGGGCAAGTGAATTTATTTTGTTTATTTTGTTTATTTTGTATATTTTGTTTATTTACTTCAAATAAACAAAATAAACAAAATAAACAAAATCGGCAAACCCAGTTTTGATTATTTAACTATTTTCTGCTGATTTACTTAAATAAACAAAATAAATGTAATTGTGCGGGAAACTGACCCGGCCTTCAGAAATAAATAAATTAAATAAACAAAATAAACAAAATAAACGAAATAATCAAACCGGTTTTTGCTGATTTTGTTTATTTTGTTTATTTAATTATGAAGGCCGGGGCAATTTCCCTGGCAATTGTAGTTATTTTGTTCATTTTGTTTATTTAGTTCAAACAATTTAATAAACTAAATAAACAAAATCGGCCAACCCAGTTTTGACTGCTTAAATATTCTCTGCTGATTTAAATAAAAACACGAAATAAGCAAAGTAAACAAAATAAACAAAATAATCAAAATACACAAAATATATTTAATGGCCGGCGGAACCCTCCTTCCTCCCCCTCCCCCTTTCCCTCCACCCCTCCCACCTCCCCCTCCCACCTCCCCCTCCCTCCTCCCCCTCCCCCTCCCCTCCTCCCCTGTCCCTCGGCCTCTCCCCCCTCCCAGATCCCTGGACCCCCTCCGTATCCCCTCCTTCGGATGTGCATTGTTAATTTATTTGTAATATTTAATTCGGTTCGGGAATTAAATAATTTAGATATCATTGTTCTCCTGGATGCTAATCCTTCTATCCTTACCATCCTCGCCATCCCCCCTTTTGATCCTTATCATCCGTATATTCCCTCCTAATCCTTGTCATCCTTATCATACTCGCCGTCCCTCCTAATCACTATCATGCTTATCATCTCCTAGCTCTTATCATCCTTATCATCCCTCCCATTCCTTATCATATCACCCTAATCGTCCTTATCATCCCTTCGAAACCTTGTCATCCTTATCATCCTCGCCATCCCCCTTTTGATCCTTATCATCCTTGTTTTCCCTCCAAATCCTTGTCATCCTTATCATACTCCCCTTCCCTCCTACTCACTATCATGCTTATCATCTCCTAGCCCTTATCAGTCTTATCATCCCTCCCATTCCTTATCATCCTTATCACCCTAATCGTCCTTATCATCCCTCCGAATCCTTATCATCCTTGTCATCCTCGCCATCCCTCCGAATCCCTATCATCCTTATCATCCTTCCCCAATCCTTGTCATCCTTATCATCCTTGTCATCCTTTTTGATCCCTATCATCCTTATCACCCTTATCATCCTTATTGCGTGGGGATTTGATCTCGATGTTGTCCCTTGTCGCTCACCCCACCGAGCTAATGATGGTGTGGTTGCCCTCAACAGACTCGATAATCTATCACCTCCACTTCCACGTTCCAGACCCTTATCCTTGGCAGGCAGACTCAGAGCTCGCTTGTTTTCTCCTTCGAGAATGGCGATGAGTCGTCTGTGCGCGGGATGGCCCTGTTCCTCGAAAAGGTCACAGAAGACGATAAGCTATATTGAG